CCCCCGCCCCCCGCCCCTCCAGCCCCTTCTCTCGCAGACTGGAAAGGCTGCGGGCTGTACGGCACTGCTTTCTTCCCCACCAAAATCAATATCTCATCAGTTCACTCATTTCCTCTGCTCTGGCAGCCGGCTCTTCAGAAAGACCCATCTGATGACACCCCCGGAGAACCGGGCCCTCCCCTCAGGGGTTTCTAACAATGGCAGCACTTGTTTTGGCAAGCAAACCCGGGTGCTCTTGGGACATGAAGATGGTCATCAAAGAGTCGTTTTACTCCCCCACCAAAATCAATATCTCATCAGTTCACTCATTTCCTCTGCTCTGGCAGCCGGCTCTTCAGAAAGACCCATCTGATGACACCCCCGGAGAACCGGGCCCTCCCCTCAGGGGTTTCTAACAATGGCAGCACTTGTTTTGGCAAGCAAACCCGGGTGCTCTTGGGACATGAAGATGGTCATCAAAGAGTCGTTTTACTCCCATGTGTCTCCCCTTGCCAGCTAGGCAAACCACCCTGGCGCCTCCTCACACACCGAAGCCACGCACGCCTCCCCAGCACTGGCTGGGCGGACAATCACATTCGGGTTTACATCAACTGGTGTAACTCCCTCCACCTTCCGCCGCGCTGGGCCTCGCACCACGCGCCTGCTGACCGGGCTGGGAAAGCACAACAAGGCTGAGCTTTTAAGAAAAAGTGCATCCAGGGGGGACTAGAAAGTGCTTCACTGGGGGGCTTCCCCTCTCCCTGTCCCTCCCGGCAGCGTGCAGGACGTTAGCCCTTTGCACGCTGCCTTTTCGCAACAGGTGAATGTGCTCCAAGGCTCGCCCGGGTCTTTTCTTTCCTCCTTGTTCTCTTGAAATCGGAGCCCCAGAACAAACATTCCGATAGCCAGCTCTGCGCCAGAGGGGGAGGGCCCTTGGATACGGCCCAAGGTGCAGAGAGCTGACCTATTGCAGACTGACTTGACTTGGATAGTAAATGTAATTGCTCTTTTTAATCTATTTGCTCTCTGCTTCAGATATAAGGCCCCAGCGTCTCAATCCTCACAACCACTGAGCCACTCAGACCCCACTAACTGAACTTTAGGATCTTTCTAATTTACTCTCTCTAGTTTCCTAACAGCTAGCAGTCCTGGGGCACCTCAGAGACTAAAAACAATATTGGGTCATCAGCTTTCACGGGTAAAACCCACTTCATCCGGTGAGCTGGAGTGAAAATAACAGACTCCAAGGTATATATAACAGCACAAGCAATTGTAGGACCCATATTAATGAGGCTAATTAAGTGGGCTAATTAAGTGAATGTGTCCCATTCACAGCTTTCGATATGAAAATGTGCACGTCAAAGGTAGGGGAAATTGGCTTTGTAGTGCATTAACCAGTTGATGTCTTTATTCAAGCCCCGGGTAACAGCATCAAATCTGAAGATGAATTCCAGTTCTGCGGGCTCTTTCTCTAATTTGTTAGTGAAATGCCTCTGTAGAAGAATGGCTACTTTTAAATCCATGATTGAGTGTCCAGGTAGATTAAAATGCTCCCCTCCACGTCTAATTTACTGACCCTCTGAGCATTTAAAAAAGTAAATAAATAAAATGAAGCAAATGACACATGCAGCATTTAGCAAGAGCTGCCTTTGCAGCATTAACGTTTGAGCCAGGCAGATCCCGTTGAACACCCGGGGCTTTGCCTTTGCCTGGCACTGGAAGGCAACGCTTACCTCAGCTCTTTCTGGCAACCGGCAGGACTCCACTCTCTGAATGGCTTCCTGAAGGAAAGCACAAGCACCCTGACAGCCTTGCAGCAAATGCTCCAGTTTCTGAAGGGGAGAGGAACACGGCAGAGGTTACGGTCAGCCCGGTTTGCGACAGGGCAGAAGAGAAACAGCAGCTCGCAGGGCTTGGGAGAGAGCTGTGGGTGGAAATCGAGAGTGGGTCGATAGCAGGGTGCTGATGAGGCCTGGGCTCTGAAACTTACGAATTCTGGTTAATACCACCGAGTTGCTCTTGTGAAAATGGTTGGGAAACTGGGCTGGAAGCACCCAACACGGACAATCCTCATGGAGCGGGGCCCTGCTGCCTTTCCTGAGCCCCACCAGCGCGCCAGGGCTGCTGTGCGGTGTGTGGTCTGTATCGCCCTCGGCATTAGTCTCCCCAGAGCAGTCTCTCTGTGCGAGCTGCCTCATGCTTCCTGGAACCCAGCAGGATCCCCCCTTGGGTGAGTTAAGCCGGGTGGGAGTCGGAAGGGTCAGCTGGACTGTGGGTTACTCAGTGTGGGGTGACAGACACGGGGTCTGGACCCCGAAGGCTGGGGCAGTGGTTGAGTTCCACCCAGAGCTCCAGAGGGCTGGGTTCCCTTACAGCCGGGGGTCTCTGAATGGGGCCTGTGAGAGCGTGAAGAGAGACCGGGGGTTAGGTAATCTCTCCAGGCCAGAGCTGACGAGCCGGAACGCATCTCTCTCTCACCAGCAGAAGTTGGTCCAACAGAAGATCCCACCTCCCCCGCCTTGTCCTTCGAATGTCCTCGGACCAGCATGGCTACAGCCCCGCTGCCTACAAGTGGGGTATTAAGGTTTTCATTTCCTGAGGGTGGAATGGCTGCTTGTGGCCAAACCATGAATGGAGACGGGTCATCCCATAGCCAGTCCAGCACCCCCTAATTAACCATGCCAGTGTGGACTGCCTTGGCGCCATGCTCCTCTGAGAAAAGGGATTTTGTAACATTTTTTGAGATCAGCATTGTTTCCCCAGAAGGAATGCTGTTCCCCCGTCCTGCTGCGTAGAGAGCCAAACTGCCTCCCTTTCTGGCGTGTGGACCTTGGGGCGACAGAGACATTTGAATGCACATTTAAAACTTCCGTACATTAGCTCTTAGTTAGATCTGAATACTCTCATTGTCTGTCGATAATTTGGGGGCAAATTCCACAATCGCAAGCAGGTTCTCTCTCTCTCTCTCTCTCTCTTTTTTTTTTTTAAATAGGGGCTGTTTGAAGCTGCCCTCAGGTTGGGGATGTTGTGAGCAGCTCCAGTTGGAGACAGATTCCTGAGCAGGATGCTGGTGAGCTCATCAGAGATGTTAAATAAATAGAGCTGGTCATGTGATTGCAGAGCTACAGATATGTATCAGTTGGGTCACGGTCACATTCAGTGCGTCGGTTAGCAGCTGTACTGTCAGATTGTCCGGTGTGAGCCTCGCTCTCAGCTACAGCCTTGGGAAAGCTATTGACTTTCAAATGCAAGAAATGTGGAACAAAAGATGGCCCCAGACTCCAATGTTCTTCCCCGGATTCTTTCATTTTATTTCCAGGTATTTCCCTATCCGCTCCTCACCGCATCACCTCCCCACTAGTTCCTGGAATGTACTGGGGACAACTGTGTGTTTCAGAAAGTGGAGGAGAACATAAGAACAGCCAGACTGGGTCCGACCAAAAGTCCATCCAGCCCAGTATCCTGTCTGCCCACAGTGGCCATTGCAAGATGCCCCAGAGGGAGGGAACACAACTGGTAATCCTCACATGGTCCGTCTCCTGTCGCCCATTTCCAGACACACAGAGGTTAGGGACACCATTCCTACCTAGCCTGGCTAATAGCCATTGATGGATCTAATCTCCATTAATCTATCTAGCTTTTTTTTTTAACCCTGTCAAAGTCCCACCTTTCACCACATCCTCCGGCCAGGAGTTCTACGGGTTGACTATGCGCTGAGTGAAGAAAAAAAAGGAGGTAGGAAGGGAGACAGCCATATTGGATGTATTTCTCACAGAGAAGAATTGGTTGTGAATCTGAAGGTAGAAGACAATTTGAATGAAAGTGATCATGAAATAATCGATTCTAAGGAAAGGGAGGAGTTAAAGCAGCAGAATAAAGAAAATGGACTAAAAAAGGCTTTAACAAACATAAAGATCTGGAAAGAAAGTCCTATGGGAAGAAAATCTGAGAGAGAAAGTTGAGGAGAGTTAGAAATTTCCCAAGGTGACAATAGCAAAAGCACAATGGCAAGCTATCTGGAGGTGAAAGAAAGATAGGAGGAATAGGCAGAGTCCAATATGACTCCATCAAAAATTCTTTAATGACCTGAAAATCAAAAAGAAATTCTACAAAAGTGGAAATGGACTTTTCTCTACTGAAGAGAAGCACAAAATAATAACACAAACATGAAGGGGCAAAGTCGGAAAGGCACAACACGAGTTTCCTTTAGCAAGGGAAATAAAAGGCAGCAAGAAACGGTTCATTAGATACATTAGAGGCAAGATAAGTACAAAGCAAAGGCCCTCTCTGTCGCAGGGAAGGAGAGCTAATAATTGTTAAAAATCAAGAGGGTGGAGCTATTTAATATTTTCATAAGGGTTTTGACATAGTCCTACGTGACATTTTGACAGTGAAACTAGGGAAATGCGTTCTACAAGAAATGACCACACCGTGGGAACATGACCGATAAAGTCTGTAGACACTCAAAGAGTAGTTATCAATGTCTCACTCTCAGACTGAGAGAGGGAATCTTACTCCAGGGCTCTGTGCTGGAACTATTCAATATTTTCACTGATGGCTGGGATAATGGAGTGGAGAGCATGCTTATACAATCTGCAGAGGATGGGAGGGGTTGCAAGAACTTCGGAGGGCGGCGTTAGACTTCAGAATAACCTTGACATGTTAGAGGACAGCAACAGGATGGAATTCAATAAAGGCAAGTGCAGCGTTCTGCACTCCGGAAATGCACAGCTATAAAGGACGGAATAAGTGGCTAAGTGGTAGAGCTGCTGTGAAGGTCTTGGCGCTTACAGGGGCTCAGAAATTCAGTATGCAATTGCAAACAAAAAAGGTTAATATTCTGGGAGGCATTAAGAGGAGTGTTGTATGTAAGACACGGGAGGTAATTGTAACGCTCTAATTGGTACTGGTCAGGCCTCAAATGAAGCACTGTCATCAATTGTGGGCCCCACACTCAAAGAAAGCTGTATCCAAACTGGAGAAAGTCCAGAAGAGAGTAACAAAAATGAGAAAAGGGTTAGAAAACCTGACCTCTGAGGAAAGGGTGCATTCGAGCTAAATAACAGCACAGAACACTGAGGGCCAGGACTAGAGGCTGTTAACCAATTTGATGGGAAACTTGGCCACACCCAGGCTAAGTGGACACCCGGCTCACTCACATCATGCAGGACCACGGATGTTGCCAGACCAGAGAGTTCTGGACTAGAGAGATTCAACCTGTACTAGAAATGTGGCTTTTATTGCTACAGGAATACCGTGATGCATGGGGTAGAGTGAGGTGGTAAGTTTGGTAAAATCTCTGCTAGAGGACGGGGTGTAGACATTTCCTCCAAGAACTCAAACGTCCATGGTAAAAAGCATCAGAACACGGCTCCAATGAGGAGTCTTTTATGTATTCCAGGAAATCTGGCTCCGAAATAACAGAAGTCGAACTAACTGGGATCACTTCTGACGGTTTATCATTGCAATGACTATTTGTTAAGTGGTGACGTTGTTCTCCTCACTGACACAGAAACAAACTTCAGGAGAGTCCCTGGGCATGTAAAAGAAGGAAGGAGTCTTTGCAGTAGGAAGATAAGAAGCAAGGAGAGGATGCTAGGACCTCGGGGTCGGGCACAGCAGTCAAATAGCAAAGTCAAGGAAAACCAGTCAGAAGCTGGAATTTGTTGCAAGCGGGAGCAGGCAAGGAGGCTGGGTCACTGCTCAGACGGCTCCCTGCCATGGCTTCCTGGTTAATATACTGGTATCGGCCACTCAGTGAGCTGTGAGGAGCCACCACACAGCTCCAGTAGGGCAGTGCATCCAAGCCTCTAGTGGCCAAAGGGAGACATTAATAGCCCAGTCCCTCCCAGCGTTCCCTCCGCTCCCTCTGGCTGGCAGCTCCATTCCTAAAAATACCCAAGAGAAGAGATGCAAAGCTGCGGTTCCCACAGCCACTTGGCACATCCACAAAAAGCCATGGAAAGACAAACCCGCCACGCGCAGTGTAGCCGAGACACGGCTACCCGGGGAACCAGAACAGCACGTCTTGTGCATTTCCTGCCATACCTTGCCCTAACCCCGTATGTGATACAATGGTTCTCCTCTCCGGCATCTGGAAACCCGACCTGGCCCCACAAGCAGCAACGGTAGACCCTTGCCCTTCTCACTCACCGTGCGAAAGCTTAACCAGTCCCGATGGCAGTATGGGAAGGTCCCATCCAATTCCAGCGGCAGCTGCGTGCTGTCTATGTGCTTGTGGAGGGACTTCATGGAGGTGAGGAGCTCCATCTGAGAAGAAACGAGCACATTGGCGTCACCGGTCTGCCTGCAGAGAGGAACTCGAAGAGCGCTGCTTACACTGCCAGAAAAGGGGCGTTCTTCAACTTGGGTTAGCTAACGCGCATTAAAATAGCACCAAAAAGGAAGCAACACAGCCTTCAGCTCCAGGTAGTAGCTCGAGTTCGACCCCAAGCATCCCTGACAGGGGATAAAAGCCAAGTGGCTGTTTTAACCTGAGTTAGCTAACCTGAGCCGAGAACACAGTTTTTTTGGCAGTGCAGGCTTGCCCTGAGGGGAAAGAGGAAAACTCAGGTGAGTGTCTCTTTCTTGGTCAACCTTACAGCAAGGCTAATGAGATCCCAGTGCTCTGTGGCAGACTGAACTCCTACATGTACATGTGCAGCCCAATCACAATGGGAAGGAAACAATAAAAGCTCGCCAATCTTGGACTAATTCGCTCGCTTGCCGTTCCACAGTTCGGCGGGCACACTGGAAGCCGAGCAAGCGTGAAACGGAAGTTTGAGGAGAGCCAGGAATTCCTCCAAAGCCGAAATTCTGTGGTGGAGACAGCGCGAGGCTCGGCCTTCCGCGCTCACACGGCCCGCTCTGAGTCATGCATGTTTGTAACGTTTCTGTGGGATTGTAAAACAAGCAGTACGTTTTCCAAAGTAATGCCCGGAGCAGCCTCCACGCACAGCAGCCCTCCCCTTCTGCAACCTCAGTGCCTCTCCACGCTGTGCCAGGAGCCATTGGCCACGTAGCGGGTATCCGAGAGCCAATACACCCCCGCATGCTCCAGTCAGAGGCTGGAGCCGAGCTGGTGCCATGCAGGATACATAATACCCAGCAGGAAAACGGCTGAGATTTGCAGAGCGGGCTGGCTGGGAGCGAGCAATTGGACACAGGCAGCCGACATTCCCCTAGAGATGCCCAGTTTCCCTTTTCTCCTTAAAACACTGGCTTCCCCTGTGAGTCTCCTGTGCGCCAATTTCTTTCTTAATCTCTTCTGCACCCTCCTCTTGGAGTTGGGAACTTTCACTTCTTCCACGCCTTCCCCCCGCCCCCCCAAGTCATTTCTTTGGGATTTTTCACCCACACAGCTAAACCTCCTTGTGCCTTGCCCTAAGCCAGCTGGCTTAGTCCTGGCCCCAGACCTGAGCTCTGGCCTATACACAAAGGCCCAGTGGTCCCCTTTAAGCCCCTGGCCTGGAGTACAGGATGGATCTGGCAAACAAAGACAAACAAATAGTAATTCAACAGCTGGCAAGCCCAGGCCCTGGTTCAGGGCAGGACAGCAACACAAACAGTCCCACAGTTAGGGTATGTCTACACTACAAAGGTAATTCGAACTAACAGACGTTAGTTCGAATTAACTTTGATAGGCGCTACACTAGCAATCCGCTAGTTCGAACTTAATTCGAACTAGCGGAGCACTTAATTCGAACTAGGTAAACCTCATTCCACGAGGACTAACGCCTAGTTTGAATTAACTAGTTCGAATTAAGGGCTGTGTAGCCACTTAATTCGAACTAGTGGGAGGCTAGCCCTCCCCAGCTTTCCCTGGTGGCCACTCTGGGCACCACCAGGGAACCTCGTCCGCCCCCCTCCCAGCCCCAGAGCCCTTAAAGGGGCACGGTCTGGCTACGCTTCCCGTGTCAGGTGCAAGCCTGCCAGCACCCAGCCAGCAGACCCTGCACCTGGCACGGCTCGAGCCAGCCACCCGCTGCCACCCAGCCCTCCGCCTCTTCCCGGGACCAGGCTGGCGGCTCCTGGGAGCCTGCCCGCGTCCGCAAGAGGCGGGCGCCCGCCTGGTCTAGTGCAGACATCGTGGACCTCATCCACGACCTCCGCACTAGGCACAGGAAAGTGGCCGTCTAGGGCAGGATAGCTGCCAGCCTGGCCACCCAGGAGCAGGTTGGCATGAAAATCAAGGTGGTCCCCTGAGACCCCCGACCCTGAGCCCTGAGCTTAGAATGGCCGTACGGGGTCAGACCAAAGGTCCATCTAGCCCAGTAGCCTGTCTGCCGACAGCAGCCAACACTAGGGACCCTGGAGGGGATGGACCGAAGACAATGACCAAGCCATTTGTCTCGTGCCATCCATCTCCAGCCTTCCACAAACAGAGGCCAGGGACACCATTTCTACCCCCTGACTAATACCACTCCATGGACCCAACTTCCATGACTTTATCTCACTTCTCTTTAAACTCTGTTCTAGTTCTAGCCTTCACAGCCTCCTGCAGCAAGGAGTTCCACAGGTTGACTCTTTGCTTTGTGAAGAAGAACTTTCTCTTGTTAGTTTGAAGCCTGCTACCCATTCATTTCATTTGGTGTCCTCTAGTCCTTCTATTATGGGAACTAATGAAGAACTTTTCTTTATGCACCCTCTCCACACCGCTCATGCTTTTATAGACCTCTATCATATCCCCCCTCAGTCTCCTCTTTTCTAAGCTGAAAAGTCCCAGTCTCTTTAGCCTCTCTTCATATGGGACCTGTTCCAAACCCCTGATCATTTTAGTTGCCCTAGAGAGAGACACACTCCTGTAGAACGCAGAGCCGCTCGACGGAGATTTCTGGTGGAAACCGGCACACTTGTGCACAAAGAGCTCACCGTTCAGAGGGCTTCCCACAAGTCCCTGCAGGAATCAGACCCTTACCTGCAGCGCTGGCGGCTTCTCCATCCGGAAGGCGAGATCTCTTTCGACAAGCAGCAGAACTCCATGAATACAGTGTGGAGCCATTTCCTGCAACCGAGAACAGAGCACAGATCCCTCACGAGCTGGACGGGCTGCTCTGGCACAGGCACCCTTCGCTGAATTCCACCTCTTCACCCATAGCTGAGGGGTGGGCAGTCCGACCTGCTGGGGGGGGTCTGAGCTAAAGAGAAAACACCCTGCAAGCTGCTAGCTCTTAGGGGAACCCAGCACAAGGACAGGTTACCTGGATGCCGTAAAAGAGCTACCTGCACACCAGCCACTGTCCCGACGTGAAAAGTAGCAGGTTCCCCACAATGCCAGCAATTCTGTGTTCTTTACGTAGCTGCTCCCAGCCTGACTTCAAGGACTTGCCTCCAGCCACTAGCATGAATGGACGGAGGCAGCAAAGGAAGGGTATCCTGCCAGCAGCGGCCTCCAGCTCTCCCCTGATCCAGCATAGGTCTCCCAGCAGATGTTCCAAGGGGAGCCCCGAGAGAGTGGTCACAAAAAGCTAAGAGGGGGTAACAACAGCTTGCCCCTCTGAATGGACCCTTCCCAAAGACCACTCGGAGAGACAATGGAGATCAGAGAATCCTAGAACTGGCAGGGACCTCGCGAGGCATCGAGTCCAGTCCCCTGCCCTCACGGCAGGATCAAGCACCGTCTGACCATCCCTGACGGGTGTGTGTCTGACGTGCTCTTCAATATCCCCAGTGACGGAGATTTCACCACCTCTCCGGCTAGCTGGGAGTTCGGCTGTAACCGGCGGTTCCCATGGGTCCCCGCTCGAGATGCAGTTGTGGACCCAGCTTGTCTCGTCCTGGGGAGCTGCATGTGAGGTACAGGTGGGGATTGCCCACCTCTGCTCAGCACTGGCGACGCGTCCGCGGGACACAGTGTCCCATTTTGCACACCATGCTTGGGGCAAGAGGTGAACAAACTGGACAGTGTCCAAAGGAGAGAGAGCATCACGAATGCTGGGAAAGCCTGGCCTGGAAGGAAGGGCAAAGAAATGGGGCCTGTTTAGCTTGGCGAAAAGAGGAGTGAGGTGGGGAGTCTTCAGCTCTGCTACGCTTGTTCTCCAGAGGACGGTGCTCCGTTGTTCTCGTGTCTACGGAAGGTGGGATGGACAAGACGCAATGGGCTTGAGCTGCCGCAAGGGAGCTTAGGTTATACCGACGATCTACCTGGCATCGCTTGGGTCCCTGACTCAATGCGGTTTTGGTTGTTGGAAAATGAAATGAAAATGCCCAGGCTCCATTTCAATCAGTGCTCTGGGGTGGGGCTGAGTCAAGGGGTTCAGGATGCAGGCTGGCCGTGTGATTTGCCGTGTAAGTGACCATTTAGCGCTAAGTTCAGTTTGTTCCAGGCTGCAAGTTAGACTGGAGAGTTTCAGGGGCTTCCTTGGTGAGACTGGGGTCATGTTTGGTACCGGCTTGGTGAAATCTACTTATGGGACACAGTTTGGGGTGTCTGCCCTGGTTTGGACAGTCTGCCAGAAAAGAGGCACTCGTGTTCGTGAGCCTCTCTGGAAAAAACCCAGCCAGTGTTAGCTCGATGCTTCTAGCATCCACTGCGCACTTGCCCCGTCCTGTTACTCACGAGCCAAAAAAGCTGTTCTGTGGTACCAAATCAAATGTCTTATGGAAGTCTAAGTATACAATGAAAATACTATTGCCCTTATCAATAAACTTGTAATGTCATCAAAAATATCACATTACTTCAACAGTCTATTTTTCATAAACCCATGTAGATTGGCACTAATTACATTACCTCCTTTTAATTCTTTATTAATGGAGTTCTATTAGCTGCTCTATGATTCTGCCATGGATCAATGTTAGGGTAACAGCTAGGTCATCCCGTTAACTGTTTGAAAAATCGGCCCAACATTAGATATCTTCCAGTCTTCTCTTCCACTCTTCCAAGACTTATTGGAAATCAACCTTAACAATCCAGAAATTTTCTATGCCAACTCTTTTAGAACTCTTGGATTAAAGATACCTAAACTTACTGGTTTAAAAATGTCTGAATTTAGTAGCTTCTATTTAATATCATTCAAAAACACT